TCCCAGAAATATGCTGCAGATGTTTTTTATTTTACATGGGGGGAAAATATTTCATAGGCTACATGTGCATCATCATACCAGATTACATGAGCAACCACAAAATACAAAGATTAAGAACAAATTATGTAAAGGACATGTGCTCTCGTTATGATACTAAACTTTAAGCTGTTTAAATGAGTAGGTTCATTTCTGGAAAAGATAAAAACCGGGTGTACGCTCTCTTTAATGGTTAAAGGCTCATGTACATACAGGTGCAGGCCTATTTGAATACACAGAATGTAATGTACAAGTTGGAAGTTGAGCTTGTATTATGCTATTAAAGTCCAAGGTATTACATCACATACATGTCTTTTTTCATGTAAATCAAAGGTTTTTGTGTACCTGAGGTTTTTTATGAAATTGATAGTAATACTGGAAAATTTAGACCTAAGATCAAGTGAAATGATACTTGATATGATAGTTCATTATTCTCATGAATTCTTCATCTGTTGAAACTTGATCAGGAAATGAAGTTGAACAAATACATCTACACATGTACTTGTATATTGAACAAAGAGACAGTTAGGGACAGCAAATTAATTCAAAGGGATGACCCAATTTTAACATTCTCTCGTAACAATGACCCCATCGTGCATGATCCAGTAACATATCCACCTGCCCTTCCCACAATCCTTATCAAAATACAACCAGACTGACTTCCCGGCCAGGCCACCACCACATACATGTAGCTGGAGGATCGACTGCAATCACCTGTAAGCGTTCCGCTGAAAAACACTCAGAGCAGGAGATGCAGAAAACATATTGATTGCGATGTTGCCGTGGCGATACAACTCAACCATTGCCTGATTGGGCTAAGCATTCCATGCGGTGTTAATGGAATTTGAAGCGATGCGGTTATTCCGGATGGATAGGTTCACATAATTCGTCAGGAGATTTTGCTACAAGTGCAATTGTGTCTCCAAGGACGAGGGTTTCCCCTTGGATATACATGTATGAGAGATAAATGAAAAACAAACAAGATTACCATGTGCTCATATGCCTGCCAGCAATATTAACTTATTCTTACCTTGATAATGCAATATTGTCTTAAATACCATCAATGTACCAAATTTTTCATAATAATGATATAATAATAAAACGTTGCCTATAAACACTTTCTACTGAAGTCTCTAAGCACCAAAAATTAAGAGGTCCCACCACTTAGATGAATTTCTCAAATGATATAGAATTTTCAATTGTTATCGTGGGTGAACGTAATGTGACCTTTGTTTTAATAAATGGACAGAAATATTCTTACATTAATTGTCTTGCATGGTTGGTTTGCTACATGTACTTCAATTATTATATCTTCACATCTTTAATATTATAAGTATTATATTATTTTGAACATTTTTTAAAGTAAAAAACACTCTGTTGTCCTTTCTGAAACTGAATGCTGATGGTTGCCCACGTAGAATACCGTATATTTGATGCCAAATTTAACGATGGACCAAGAATCAGGTCTCTAACAATTTATTTCTTAAGTTCATTTCTGATATGTAAACCTCGTGGCACATAAGGAGTTAAGAAGAAACATTGACATGTTGAATGAGTCTATTGCCCTGGGAATCATTACCTCTACATACCATAGGACTAATGTTGGATAACCAAGTCAAGCACAGTGTAATCTCCTACCAGAAATGTTGTCTGGAGTAGAGGCACCGAGTAGGGGGAAGGTTATCTGGGATGTGATCCACCTCATGATGGCAAAAATGTCATGTGGGCAAGAAATTAAGATATCTCAGGAGATAGTGAGGAGATGGAGAGAGACACAGACAGACAGAGAGGGAAAGGGAAAGAGAGAGAGATGTAGAAAGAAATCAGGGAGAGGAAGAAAGAGAGGGGAGATACAGAGATGACAGAGAGAGAGAGGGGGTGAAAGATGGAGAGAGGGAAAGGAGAGAAAAGAAGAGAAGAGATAGATAAGATAGAGGGGATACGGGAGAGAGGGGAGCTGAAGAAAGAAAGAGAGAGGGAGAGGGGGAAGAAAAAAATTAAGAGAGAGAGAGAAAAGAAAATGGAAAGGGGTAGAATAAAAAAGATGGTGAGAAGAGGAATGGGGACTTGGGAGCGGAGATAGGATATTAATGGAATGCAGAGGAGAAAAGGAGGAAGAAAGAGGTGAGAAATGGAGTTAAAAAATAAGTGGGAGAGATCTACATGTACATGAAAATATAGGTGAATAAGACAAATAAAAGGATGTAGAGAGACAAGAAAAGGATGAATATGACCATTAAAAAGGAGAGATGGAGATGGAGATGGAGAATTTGGGAAGAGTTTGTCTGGGAATAAAGGTACAGTAGATAGGGAGAAAGAATTAGGTATTTGGGCAGACAGAAAACAAGAATATCTCGTGAGAGAGTGTTTTTATATGTCAGGCCTTTAGGGAGTATATGCACTTCATGACTAGAATCAATTAGGTAATCATTGGCATGGGTAATTTCATCATGGGGATAGATGGCCCCAAGGATGGATATTTATGAAGCCAGAGTAGATCTAGACGTACATACTACACAGGAGTTCACTGTACAGTGTCATTGTCTCATACTAGTCATAGTTAATTTATCAACGCTAATTGGGGTGAAGAATGCTGGAATTGTATTATCACCTGAATTTATGTTTTTGTATGATTCCCTTTAAGCACTTTATTTGACATGGGTGATTAAGAATGTTTTGCCTTCAGACACATTGATTATTTAAGAAATAAATGAAAATATAAAAGAGCTAGTTTAATATCTTCAGAAGATAAGGGTTTAGTGCAATAGTATGTTTGTAGATTTTGCAGGCATTCATGAAGTACATATGAAAGCCAAACGCAGCAGAATATTTAAAGCTTTACTCTTACACTGATTTGTAGAGGTGTTTTTGGTCCAGTGGAGAAATCCCCGGACTGTGCACTACAAGGTATGGTGTTCAAATCCCTGCCACAACACTAACTTTCTTTGACAAGACGTTAATCTGCATCTTGCCACACTCCTCCCAGGTGAGGTGAATAGGTACCTGGTAGGATTATTCCTTGAAATGTATTGTGCGCTGACAACAGCTGCCAGAGCTAAAGCTATAGGTTAATCATTTCCAAAGCTCTTTATAAGTGCATAGGGACGTTGTATCATATTGTGTAAATGCACTACCTACATGTACATGTAAGAACAGAATATCATTATTATTATTACACTGCCTGCATTCATTTATCAATACATAATGGTCAGATAGGACTACAATGTACAAATTAACATGCCTCAAATTCCAATACTCTTTAATTTGCTAGCATACATACAAATTCACGTACACGTGTGTATGCATGGTATTTTCCATACAGGTGTATATTTCTATACTAGTTATTGAACTGCAAACATTTATCCATCTTTGTGTGTCTGGTTATTTAGAAGACCTTATTATTAGCGTTTCTTGATTTACAAATAATTTATTTTGTTATCGTCTCATGGCATACAACCTGTGTCATCTGATTCGAATATGTAATTGCTAATTTGCTATCATTCCTTTTTGTGGAAGTCATATTAAGCGAGGACCTTTGCTAACATCAAAGAGTATGCGAACTTCTAGAATTTATTTCCCCCAACTAATCAACCAATGTCCATTCCACAAAAAATAAAAAATTCCCATTATTTTTGATGATTTTCATTGGAGTGACCCCTAGCACAAAACTCTGTCTAGAGGCATTCTCATGCCCATTCTCTTGTTCAACATGCTAGATATTGTTTTTTTCACGATGCATGACCTGAGCTGCTTTAATTCCTCTGAACGTTTATTGGCTTATACGTCTCCGTCACCGTCTCCAGGGGCTTATGATGCAAGCAGGTGAATCTGGGTCACCAGGTCTAGCTGCTCGCTTTACCCCTTGCATTTTACGCTTAAATGAAAATCGGGGTTGACGAAGTGAGAATAGGGGAAGGGAATATCGCCTGCTTGTAACCAAAAGGGCGTGAAATCTGTGAATTCCAAGCAGAGGTGTCTGATTAACGCCCTTCTGGCTCTCAGCAGACTCTATGTTGCTATTGTTCAAGGCCAGACTGATGATGTTATTACCTTCATGCATTCATAAGACACTACCCCCTTCCACCTGCTTTAGCCTGTTGTCTGACTGATCACCCTTGCGTGGGCGAGTCAGAAAGGTGACATGAAAGTTTATGAGCGGGACTGTACAGTCAAACTTGACCATGCATATGATACGCATTCATGTTACATGTAGGTTTGGCATTTGTGGGCTATCCTTGTAGGTTTAGTTTAGTATGTTCGTCATTGTATAAATTAGTATGATAATTTCCTTTCATGTTTTTACGAGTACATTTCATGTATAGTTCTTGCTAAACCTATGCTCTTGCATTTTGCCTACAAGTTGATGTCTGCATAGCAAAGTGATATACGCTATGAAAGAACAGAATCTTATTTTGTATTGCTATTATTACAACTGAAAGTGGGTTTATGGATGGTTATCATTCTATGCCTAGAGCTCATTTGCATTGATATTTTTTTAAGGAATAAGAAAATGTTTGAGGTTTTAGAGATTATAGGTTACGCAGTGTTTTAGTCTTCTTTTTTGTGTGTGCATGTAGTTTTGTATGAAAATGCTAGATTTTAATATACACATCACAAATTAGCTTCAAATTACTTTATGCTATGGGCTAGGCACAAATATAGACTTGTGTCTGTATACATGTACATACCAATGGTTTGTTGTTTTTGAATTATTGATAATATACAAGGAAATCCAATTAAAGCAAATTTGCTAACACTGAAAAGGAAAAACAGAATTATTAACCAGAAAATAATTTAAACAATATTTATTCTTTTTTTTTTTACATGAACACGGTGGTTCTGCAGGCTTTTGTTTTATATGGATTTCTCTGCTTTTGTACTTGCATATGCTTTTAATATTTAGAAAGTCTTCTAATTATACGCATGCTCTTTTCTTTGTTTTTATTTTACCCCTGTATATTCAGTGTGTCTGTGTGGTTAATCAGCTAATACTTTGGGATGCAGCTAGTGGCCCCTTGATGTACAGTAGATGATGCCATCTGAGCTCCAGGGATTTTCAGCCATCCTCCTGTAATAGTTACCGGTAGTTAGTTGCTTTGTTCCAGCACCAAACACTGTCTGTGGTATATGTGGTATAAATATACATGTAGGACCTTAATAATGCATGAAACGTTTCCTGACACCTGACCTAATTGTTGTGATGTGGTGATGGGTCCCAAGAACCACAGAAAATCTACACTTTAAAGCATCATGAGCAGAACATTATAATTGAAGAAGTTGCTGTTTTTTGCAACTTTTGCACTGCCTTGAAGATTCATAGTGCAAAGAAACTGTAAAGTTGGTACAATACTGGACAATTTCAAAGCAGCAGGTGAAGACACACTACTGTTATTCTTTTGCTTGATCCATAATATACACTTAGCTTTGTTATATGTTAGTCAGTGTCCAGCAGATCGGCAGTTTGTGTACTTGTATAGACTCATTTAAACATAGCACTGCATGCCTCTAGTCCCAGCTCCTGAGTTTTGTGTGATGTGACTGAAGACCCTTGTGACGATACCAAGACCACCATGCTTATGACCTTGTGTTACATCTATCTCGTTCATCTCTGGCCACGGTTCCATCGCAGGCTCAAGGAGACTATCCTCGGAACGGTCGAGATGTACTCCGGCAGGGCCAGCGTTGCCTTCCGGAAGCTGGTACCAGCGAACATCGCGGAGTGGGCGGAACTACCTCACCAGGCGTCCCTTCTGTGTGAGGCCCTGGATCCCGAGATGAATACAAACGTCCTGGAGGAAGCCAGAGGCAAACAGATGCTTATCATGGAACCAAAAGTAAGTACAGAGTAGTTGCTTTCTTGATGAGCAATATATATAGTCAAATCTGCTTTAGTTACCGCCTGTCTACAAATACCACATTTTGTGTTTCCCTTGACATTGGTTTCTCATTGAAACATGTAGTATAGGCACCTGTACATAAAGACCACCTGCCTATAAAGACCACTTTTCTTGTCTCCTTTGGTTGATTTTATAGACAGGTTTCACTGTGTATATATTGCCTACTGAGTGTCAGAAGAGTGCTTTCCCTTAATAATATGAGTTGATAGCAATGCCCCAGCCGGCAACATGCTCCAGCGCCACTTAGGAAGCTCAGCAAAATGTAGTGGCGTGAAAATGCAAGCTTCATATTTGTTAAAAATCATAACTTTGTCCAAATGCAGTGGATCCACTTTTTTAAGGCTTAATATTAGCTGAACTTTCATTCAGATGTGTCAAAAAATACCTTTTAATTATTAAACAAACATCACAGATATATGTATTTTGCGTTGCATACAATGTACAGTGTACGTGTCTTATAGTCTTTTAGCCACCAGTCCAATTCAAACTGCGACCCTTGACCCAACACTACACTTTTCACTAACGTTAAATAACAATATTTTGTTCTAACCTGGTATGAACATGCATCTTTGTCTCAATATTTGACTCCTGGCAAATATCACCAGGGCCAACATTGGTTCGTCTCAGTAATCATATAGCATTATATTCTGCTGACCAAATCCTTTAAAAAAAAAATTTCCTTGTTCTTTTTCTTGGAGCCAGAAGAGCTATAGCAAGCAAATGTTATCCTTTTTTGCAATAAACATGTTGGGCTTCAAGCATTATTCATGCAATACACATTTCATAGTGACCTTCTTCATCTATAGAAAAATTGATTGAAAAATTAAAGATTTTTAATGAATGAGGTTCTCTACGTCAGTCAGTAACTGCGGATGCTGTTTATAGATCTTCCAATTGAATAGAAGTCCTTGATCACATACTGTACATGTGCATATAGCATTCTCCTTTTGGACTTCCATTATTAAGTTAGCTTGTAAGGAGTAGTACATGTACAAATTGTATGTATACAAGGTCTTTGACCTGGGAATATTATGGTTCTCGAGGAGCAATTCGTTTGATTGCCGCTGGCCCAATATACTCATCATATAATTATAGTGTGTACCGGTACGTTGTAAACATATAAATTACAATCTACTGTATCTGGGGTTGTATGTATAGTGAATGGCTACATGTTTTGGGGCATGATACTGAAATAGATGAAAGGAAAAGGAAATCTTTTGTTTTCCACTTAATGCAATTGAAGTTGGCTGCAAATTCATTTTTATAATAAACCATTACCATTACCATTATGTATAAGTTAATGATATTTTGAGTTTTAGCCATTTTAATAAACTGTCTATTTTTAGGCTGATGAGAGATTCACACGTTTACATTCACATGCATTGGCAGGGATAACTGGTTTAAAGGTCTACATACTCGGGTTTAGTTTAGTTGTATCAGTATATAGCTTGCCTATATAGCTTGTCCAGATTTTCATAGAATATGACCAAGGAACTTGTAGGGTAGCGAAAATAATGACAAATTGATGCTCAGTCAATCACCTAGGAAACGATACTTGTCTGGAGGCGAAGAAATGAATTATCAATCACTTATTGAATGAGCAGAATTACAAATTTATGGGCTCCTGTGCCCTATTGTTAGAAGTGTGGCACTTTAACTTTTCTTTTCTCCTCTTTTCTTCTCTCTTCTGTAATAATTGCCCTTTCCTATCTCCCCTCTGCCCTTTTGTTACAAGTATGTCTACCAACATGTAAGTCTGTATTTGTTTGTTCCCCTTCCAAGTCCTTGGGAAGCAGAGTGACATTATGTTATAATGTGATAAGCACTGAACAAGAATGGCTTCTTCTTCTCTTCTTCTTCTTCTGCTTGTTCTTGTTCTTCTTCTTCTTGTTCTTGTTCTTGTTCTTCTTCTTCTTCTTCTTGTTCTTGTTCTTCTTCTTCTTCTTCTTGTTCTTCTTGTTCTTGTTCTTCTTCTTCTTCTTCCTCTTCTCCTTCTCCTCCTCCTCCTCCTCCTTCACCTCCTCCTCCTCCTTCACCTCCTCCTCCTCCTTCTCCTCTTCCTTCATCATCTGTTTCTCCTTTTTCTCCTTTGTCTTCTTCTTCTTCTAATACCATTATCATTATTCCCATCATCATCATTGTCATAATAGTATTCCTATGTTCATTTCTCATTCTCTCTTTGTTTAGCTTTCATCTGTTTGCTATTCCTTCTTTTTCTGTTTTTCTGTGTCATTTGTTTCCCTTTCTCTCCTCATTTATTTGTCCAACTCTTCCACCTTTTTCTGTACTTTCCCTTTATGTGCATTTGTTAATGTTGAGGTTTCGTTGTCAATTTCCAAATTGTTTTCTCCCATTTTAATTTACATTTCTCATGAATTGTTTTCACTCAATGTATTTTTTAAATGAGCAAAGTGCAATCTGTATTACACTTTGAATTGAGTCTAAATTTGATATATATATTTTTCTTGATTTTTTTTACAATCTTCATACAGCAATGCCCCCTTTCTTTAACAATCACGTTTTATATTTGATAAAATCAAAATTGAATTTTTATTTTCCTTAAAAAATAAGTTTTCACAACATGCCAAAGGCATTCACATTGTACAAGGAACTGAATTCAGTACTTGTAGAAGAAAATATAAATGTATCTTGATCATATCATAGTGTTTGAATAACTTGTGTGCATACATGTAGTCATAAATTATACAATAGATAGTTTTAGATATGGATAATTTTAATATTAACCCATTATTTACTAAATTCTCTCACTCCCTAGACTCATTAAAGGAGTCACTCAGTCCCCATAGGCAATGGGTTAAAGTTTCTTCAAGCTATCAACTCCCTCTAAGGTATCAGAGTTCAACATTTCAGACATATAAAGCAGTTTATATCTTATATATCACTTCAGTCAGTCACGCCATTCTGTTTCAATTGTTTTACCAAACAGCAATCTGTGGACTTGAGTTATGACTGGACTTCATTCATTGGTTCATCTACTCCGGCCCTCAAGGCACCCATTCCTGTTGCCCCTGCCTCCCCCACCTCCTCCCTCTATGTACTCCTGGAGGCATCACCCCCTAAGAGAGATCGATACGGGCGCCTTGCACTTCGCAAGGTAAGTGGACCTCATTTATAGGATCGTGTGAGGTATGTTTACCCTTGCCCTCCTGTGCTTGTAGTACTTCTGCCCCCCCCCCCCACCTACCTCCTAACCCAACCTCAACTTGTTTTATTCTTGTGGAGACATCATCATCTAATGCTATGGTCACAAAGGTTCGTACGAACGATAATTTTGTATGAAACTTCCTGTTTTTCCATTGTCTTCCCGAATGTCCATGGTCTGAAAATCATTCGTATGGCATTCGTAGCAGTTCGTAATGGCATTTGTGACCGAGGCTTTAGAGGGACCACTATGGGCACCTCACTCTTCATTCATGGAATTATGTAATGTACATATACCCTGGCCTTCCTTTGCTTGTAACCCTACCCTCCCCCCCCCCCCCCCACCCATGCACGCACACATTTTGTACAGAGATGTAGCAAGCAGAAATGATTATAGTATTACGATGTCTTGAAGTGCTTTACAAACATTATACGAGGATTGAAAAATAGTCTTGCAATTAAAAGATGTATATTAATTTTTTTTCACCAGGATATACTGATTTATCACTTCATAAATTTTTCCCTCATATAGTAAAAGAACTGTAAAGATTTTTTTTTTACGAAGGCATTTTTTTTTTCCCTGACCAACAGGTGCCACCAGACAGGGTTGTGAAATTCTCAGACCTGACCACGCCTTTAGCTTGGAGGTCAGGGGAACCGTTTGGGATCCTGGTCCAGGCTAGTAAAGAGAACTTCTCCAGGATTGGTACTGCTTACCTGGAGGGCTACCTGGAGCTAGATGATGGGCTCCTGGTCAACCAACTCCTCAGTAAGTATCATTCTAGTAATTGAATCTCTCTTTCTCTCCCTCTCTATATATATTTATCATTGTCTCTTCCTGTCCAAAATAGAAAAGAGAACTTCTCAAAGATCAGTTTCTCAGTAAGTCTTATTATTCCACCTTATTATCTCCCTCTCTATATGTATGTCTCCCTCTATCTCTCTTCCTCTGTCTCTCTGTCTCTCCTCTCTGTCTCTCTCCTACATTGCTCCATCTACATGTACACTCTAAAGACATGTAGTTTTCTATCTACCTTCCCCCTCATCTCTTTTTTTCTATCTTTATCTGTCTTCCCTCTTTTCCTTTCCCAAATTTTTACACTCTCTCCATTTTTCTCTTTCTTTCATTCATTTCTGTAAGCTTTCCACCCTTGATCTACATGTACCCCTTTATGTCTCTCTCTCTCTCTCTCTCTCTCTCTCTCTTCCTCTTCCAATTAATGAACCCCAGTCGTGTCATATTTGATATACACTGTACATGGAGATTGGAATTGAACTGAATGCTCCACAACGGTTTCACAAAAATGAAATGAGAAAGTTAGATAAGTAATATCTGGTGGAGCTTACATATGTTTTATATTACAGTATATTGGCATGTAGCTCCCAGGGTACAGAACAAACCATTCTCAAGTTTTTGAAACCCTGTAAATCCTCTTAGTCTTTATTATGATCTATGTGATGGCATTTCAAGCCCTGTATCTCTCTTGAATTGCATCACCATAAGGAACTTCACATGAGACAGAAATATCCACAACCGAAATATCTCATCCACCTTCAAAGAAGCACACAAATGTCATTTCTCTTTAGCTGATCCCCGCAAACCCAAACCCCATCTACCGGAATGCCTGTTTGACCATTACGCAGATAAGTCGAGTGTAGCATATAGGTGCCTAATGGATCAGCGATTCATCATTATCACTGTATTTGTCATATTAGCAACTCTGTCTGCATGGCTGTGAAGATTACATTGAGAGCTCAGTAATCCAAGTGTCCTTCAGTGCCATCAGTCGCATTAGACCCATTCACACTCAGTAAAAATAAAGAATTGTGATTCAATTCTCTTAATGGGGGGCAATTCACACATGGGATATCGAGAATTGATATTGTCGTATACATGATTGTCATATTGTGTCCTTCAGTGCCATCAGTCTGTCGCATTAGACTCATTCACACTCAAGGAAAATAAAGTATAAGGATTCAATTCTCTTTTGGGGACATTCACACATGGGATATCGAGAATTGATATTGTCATATGATATGATTGTCATATTGTGGTCACTGGCCTTAGTTGTATGACAGAGCGCTCCATTGACCTTAATTGTTACACAGAGGGCTTACCAGGTACATTTATGCTTGATTATTTATTCGCAAACAAACAAATATTTCAGGTGTAGTGCGATTTAAATCATGTGTTCACACATTCTGATGGCAGTTCGATAATTGAATCTTTTAAAATCTCACTTCCATGTATGTTCTGGTGTGAACAGTTCTATTATTTCTTTCCTCGATCTGTTCCACTCCTCTGCATCATCAGGTCAATCCTATTTGTACACTGCACTCTCTGAAGCATGCATCAGCCTCTAGAAGTTCTTATTTGATATTACACAGGTGCAATGTACTTATTTTACACAAAAACGTATGGGTGATGGTGCATCCTGCCATTGAAGAACAGGGGCCAAGTTATAAAACCGTCAGAAGTCTAAAGCTCTTGGACATCCAATTGAAACTTATGTCAATGAAATATCAAAAAACTTGAGACTAATGACAGTTTCACAAGACATTTACCTTGATGTTTAGACTTACATATTTGCATGAACATTCAGATAGATACAGTAGGGAATGAATGTGCACTCGTGAATATTCTTTCTGTTAATATAATCATGATAGAATTTTGTTTAATTTAAGATTCTTAAACAGTGCCCCTTTCAAAATATCAATTTTTGTCATCTCCATGGCATATCTTCCGGTACTATCGGCTCCTACCCGACTTCATGTAAAAACTGTAAATCGATTGATGACAAAGAACGTGATTGTAAAAACATCCCATTTAATTGATTTCATAAAAAGTAACCTCAAGAAAATATGTTTCTGAAACAAAACAATAATGTTGTTACAATTATATGTCATGCAACACCATTTATGTAATAATCTTTGACAACCTTATTAAAACTTTTCCTCTGATTTTATTGTTTTAGCTGTGGAAGTGAAGGGTCAGCCATTCAACCTTGTTGACAGCAGACTCAAAATGGGTGAGAGCCCTTCAGGCACCATGACCCCACCCATCCCTGCATCGCCTCACAAAGGTGGCAAACCCCAGCTCAACAGGCAGCCGCATCAATCGCTTCGTCGGAAGCACTCTTCAGAGTTCCTGCGCAAGATAGAGGAGCAGAAGTTGAAGTCGTCCGGCTCGTGGTCCAGCACGGGAGATGCTAATGAGGACAGTGTTGGTGGCAGCCCAGTGGATGTCACGTCGGCATCGGATGGTGTGTTCTTCCAGGCTGGTGAGGAAGGTGCTAACCTGTCCAACGGCATCGGGAAGCTCTCAAGGTCCGGGAAGCACAAAGATGAAAGGGATCGCGCAAGGAGTATGTCCAATGATAGCAAACCTCCAAACATTCTTGTGTACACAGGATCGGAGACAGAGGACGAGGTGTTCGCTGCGGTGCAAGCAGCCCTCCAACATTGCCTAGAACAGGACAAATACGTCATCTATCTTCTGAAACCCAACACGTTATCACAGCCATGGTCGGACAATTGCGCCCTCGTGGTGCTGGCTGGGGAAGGAAACCTTCCAGAGGAAGTCACTTCTAAGTTCGTCTCCCACTTTCAGAACGGGGGACGCATCCTGAATTTTGGACTCCCGTTGTCCCTCGGAGATGTGAGCTTCCAGGTTGGCGCCCCTACTGAGAAGGAAGTGGAAGCAACCTATCAGGGTATTGTGAAGTCTCAGCCATACAGAGTGCAGGGTTTGAGTGGGCCCGGAAGGCTCCATGTGAACGATGGGGAGGGTGATGAGAACACTCGTGTCAGCATCTTGGCTCAGGACAGGATACTACCCATGGTGGTGAAGGCATCGGAAAAGACAAAAGGAGGAATGGCAATATTCTCACAAGTAAGTCAAACCTTTAAAAGGAATGTCAAAAATCAATCTTATGCTCTACTGAATTCCTTTTGGAATATTTTGTGTTCAGTTTGTATGAGATGATAGTTTAATGCTTATATAAAGGAGAAGCTGTAAATTGCCGGAGGTTGATTTTTGAAAGTCTTTACGATAGTGTCATCATTTTTTCACATTTTTGTTTGTATGGTCTGTTGAGTTTATAAGCGATCTTGATAAAACAGTAGTACTTGAAGCCTTGTATATACATATTACACCTGTACAAGTAGCTTGAGCTCTACAAAACATATGTAGCAATATAGATATTTTTTAAAACTTTTATATTATCATATTTCTAGCCCTAATAGAATTTTAGCTTCAATTCCATTTCATTGAGCTAGTAGATGTGACTATATGTGGTTCAAAACTTTCAAATATTGCTCAAAGAGTTTGCAATATAAAATCAATTATGAAGTGAATCATTCATGTATGAATAATTGTTGGCCTGTGTATCTGTCATCCCCTAAAATGCCACATTTCCAATGGCAACATCGTTGACATGTAAATTTACTCTCATTTGTAAAGTTTGTTTCCGAATTTCATGAAAACTTGTACCCTAGGGTTATTGTGTATCATAGATAGTTAGGAATAATTTCCAGGTCAAAACTTTGAAGTCAGTAATGGTCAATTATGCTGCCAAAAATTAACCCTTGGTTCAGGTTTTTCTGTTTCTTATTCAATTTTTCTCTCATTGCCACATGTTTCTACCGATAATGCTTTTCTCCCGTCCCATGTAGATATGCTTTCCTGAAGGTCACCTTGAGGGGACTCAAGAAGACATGGCAATAGACATGTTAGTAAGGTTGGGTCTAGCTTGTGTCAGCTCCAAGACTACTAGCCAACATATCATACAGCTCACACCAGCATATCTGCTAGGCATCAATCAGGTAAACCTCTCACAATCATCTCATTTCTTATTCCTATAGATGCTTTGTGAGCGTTATAGTGGTATCTTGTTTCCAACACATCCTCCAACTCACTCAAGCATACCTTTTAGGTATTAAGTCAGGTAAACCTCTCGCAATCTTCTCATTATTTATTTCTTTATGGGCTACTTTAATGTCATGGTCAAAAGAAGTGTGTACATGTAAGTGGAGACTTTCTTTACAGAAATTGTTAATAACATGGTGTCAAAAAAGGAGAGAAGGAAGAGAGAGAAAACTATGGGAGAAGGAAAACTGGAAATCAGAAACACATTTTGAAAAGAAGAATCTCATCATGTATGTACTGATGCACAGTTTGAGCACCAATTGATAATAATAATAATAATAAAAAAATTACATTTATGAAGGGCCTTTTCGTTAGATACAAAGCGCATAAACAAGAAATACTTACAACTAACAAAGAGAGAGAACATTATTAATTACAAACAGAGATGAATATTGCAACAATTTTGAGAAGACGTATTTTTAGATGCCCCTTGAAAGCTGTGAGAGTATGGCAATTGTTTAGTACAGGGGGTAAGGAGTTCCAGATTCTGGGGGCAATAACTGAAAAGTGCACAGAAGCTCTTAAACTGCAACTTACAATATCTATTATTCAGATAAGTCAGACACAAACAAACTTTTAAACATGCCATGATTTGCTTTCTGGGCACAATTTGACATTCCACTCCACATTGTGCAAAGCTATGTTGCATCTAACAGTATGTGCTACCTTTAAAGGTGGTGTGTCCCTTTTGCAGGCTGGAAATACAAACTTGTGTGAATCATATTGTAACCAAGAGATAATACCAACTAAAAAAAAACTCCCCAAATAGGATCAGAACAGGTATCATATGCGGAATTGTACCGACTGAAGGAATTTTCGCAACGCGTTTCAAAAATTATGCGTAGAAAATAGTCTGATTTTCAGAACCTTGTACCTCATGGTCGTACTTTTTGTGCAGCGCAAAGAGTCAATCAGCTTAATTGTGGCCGTTACAAGAAGCAGGTTATTGATTTTTACAAAAACTCATATCCTTTACAGCTCATTTTATGTATGTTAATACCAAAGAAAAAAAGAATTTGATGTTGGCTGCAAAAAGGACCTTTAAGGTACATTTAAAGTTCACTTGAAATAGGTTGCATGTTACCTGGGGCTTGCATTGCCCTGAGCCCCAGACAGGCTGTAATTGGTAGTAATGTATTCAAGACAGGATGTCATACATGTAGGATGGGTAAAATATCCCCAGGAAATGTTTGGGATAAGGATATGAGAGCCAGCAAGTGTGATAACTGTGGAGAAAGTATGGAGATCTATTTCATGATTTGGTGAAAAGTGAGGATAGCAAATGCAAGATAAATACATATACATATATGCTATCATATTCTATGAATGGAGAATTGCTTTGTCTTCCAAAGGGTTGAAAGGGATCATACATGAAGTTGCTCATGAAGAGAAAAAGAGAGAGAGGGAGAGAGAGAGAGAAACATGGAAAGAGAGAGAGAGAGAGAGAGAGAGAGAGAGAGAGAGAGAGATAAAGGAAGAAAAAGAGAGAGGGGGAGGAGAGAGGGAGTGGGAGAGATAGAGAGAGATAAAGGAAGAAAAAGAGAGAGAGGGAGAGAGAGAGAAACATGAAAAGAGAGAGAGAGAGAGAGAGATAAAGGAAGAAAAAGAGAGGGGAGGAGAGAGGGAGTGGGGAGAGATAGAGAGAGGTAAAGAGGTAAAGATATAGAGAGAATTGGTCATGGGATTAGGAGAGGATAGTCTTTGCTTTGGCAAGAATTGCTCTTAATTTTATTACAGATAAAGGGTTAGGGTTACAATTAGGTACCAGGTTAGGGTTAGAGCAAGGAGGATATTACAAATCTCTTTGGTTAGAGTAAAGTGAGGTACATGTGTATGGTGCAGGCTTAAAGTCAGGAATTCAGTTACTGCAAAGCAATCGGTGCTGGAGCATGTGTTGTATGACCATGGAGAGAGAGAGAGAAATACAGAGAGATGAGGATACAAACAGATTACATCCTTAAGTACCACTTAATGTAATAGATGCAATCCCTGACATGTAGTCATATGTCAGGCTCACGATCAATTGGGCAAAAAGAATTTCCGTTTCGGTTTAATAAAATTTGGAGTGGACTAAAAGATTATTATTAGTATTATTATGTCCTCGTGTTTATGTGAGATTCTAAAAGGGCACTTTAAAACTTCCTCACATTAAAAGCTTCTAAATGACTCAAATTATGCCATGAAAGCTTCAGTATTTTGGTGTCGGGAGAGTAGTTTTATGGCCAATTAAGACTGTAAATTGGACATTTCATGAAGCTTTTATGATGTGCTGTGCTATCCTGTTGTTTCTTGATGCATCAGTGTCTGTGCTGAATTGGCATGCCAGTCCTGGTTTCATTTGGCAAACGTGGCTTTTAAATAGTTACCGCTAAAAGTAAAATTCCTCTTTCTTTTCCTCTAGAGAAAATTTCTTTCTTTTTAATACATAGTAAAGAACCTGGAGATAATGAAATGTAATTTTTGCTGAATAAAGAATTAAACATGTGAAAATTGATCCACAATAGAGGGGTTATCATTGTTTTTTATTTAGAGGTATGTAAACATGTTAGCAGTTAGGCTCTCACAGACAGATATTGAGGGTACCCCCAATAGATTGAATTCATGCCTATAGATCTGGTTTAGGATTTCATTCACGTGCACCTTAATCCATACACTCCTGCAAACATATGTAGATGTAAGTGTAAACAAACATTCAGTAATGAATGAGATACACAGTAGCTACAACGCCAGGTTCAGAGGCGCCGGGATGCTCGGGGAGTGAATCAATGCAAATTGAATTGATTGAATTTGACCCCCTGTTCAATAGACAATGTCCCCTCATCATGCCCCAGTCACTGTACGGCGCTCTAGGGGCTTCCTGAGACAGGTGTAATACAAATGTCATCCCTGCAGCCCAGGGGGCGTGCGTGCTAGGTTTTGGCAGGGCATCCAGGCGTATTGATATATGTCGCCATCATTGTACGTGTTATGTGTTGAGGGTTTGTTTTGATGGCGTGTGAATGCTAGTTGTTTGCATTTATAAACAATCTGCAGTGATATTTTGACCCTAAAACAAGAAAATATACAATTGATTACACTGTTTATCATTTTGTTATTCTCAAAGGGAAGGGAGTCAGAGTATGCAGTTTGTCTTTGCCTTTATATTATGGAATCGTATTCCTTGATGTATCATTAATTTGAAAGCATTTATTTGTTTGCTTGGCTTATCATTCATCTAATATTTAACTCATAGCTATAGCTTTCGGATACAATGTGTACCAAATTATAAAAGCATTAAAATTTAGTACCATGAAATAATAAATCTTGAAATTAAGAGGCTTGATAACATGAAGAGGGTACCGGTACTGGCTCTTCACCCGACCCACTTTCCTTGGTCAACATCCAAAAGAAGTGTGAAAACAGACTTGTAAAGAGCTACCTTTATTCTGTCTTTCAACTATATACATTCATTTTAAGGATATTTTTTTACAGGTTATATTTTACAAGTTTTTATTCGGATGTTTTCTTTCAAGGGTGACAGATTTGATCAAATTGGGGTTACATTTATTCGATGTAGCCCTGCCTCCCTGGCGGGCATGCTAGTTACTTGACATATGTTAGAGCTCAGGACCTTTTACTATATGCATCCATTGCCCTGGTGCTTGAGGGCTATGTCTAGATGGTGATGGTGTTCATTTAAAAGAACAGTTGGGGAAAAGATCACCGGCTTGCCGCTATCAATTACGTACTTGTTGCAGTTGAGCATGCTCCAGGCTGGCTGCCGGATGAGGGAGTGGCTACGGTTAGCAAAGTGGCTTGTAGAGTGATACATGCAGAGATGAAGAGGGAGAGTGAAGGGAGGGATGTGGGAGGGAGGGTAAGAGAGAGAATAGGAGGGAGGGAGGGAGGAAAAGAAAGAGAGAATAGGAGGGAGGGAGGGAGGAAAAGAAAGAGAGAATAGGAGGGAGGGAGGAAAAGAAAAAGAGAATAGGATGGAGGGAGGGAGGTAGAAAGAGAAATAGAGAGAATAGGATGGAGGGAGGGAGGAAAAGAAAGAGAGAGAATAGGAAGGAGGGGGAGGGAAGAGAAAGAGAGAGAATAGGATGGAGGGAGGGAGGGTAAGAGAGAGAATAGGATGGAGGGAGGGAGGTAGAAAGAGAAATAGAGAGAATAGGATGGAGGGAGGGAGGAAAAGAAAGAGAGAATAGGAGGGAGGGGGAGGGAAAGAGAAAGAGAGAGAATAGGAGGGAAGGGGAGGGAAAGAGAAAGAGAGAGAATAGGATGGAGGGAGGGAGGGTAAGAGAGAGAATAGGATGGAGGGAGGGAGGTAGAAAGAGAAATAGAGAGAATAGGACGGAGGGAGGGAGGAAAAGAAAGAGAATAGGAAGGAGGGGGAGGGAAGAGAAAGAGAGAGAATAGGATGGAGGGAGGGAGGGTAAGAGAGAGAATAGGATGGAGGGAGGGAGGTAGAAAGAGAAATAGAGAGAATAGGATGGAGGGAGGGAGGAAAAGAAAGAGAGAATAGGAGGGAGGGGGAGGGAAAGAGAAAGAGAGAGAATAGGAGGGAAGGGGAGGGAAAGAGAAAGAGAGAGAATAGGAGGGAGGGAGGAAAAGAAAGAGAGAATAGGAGGGAGGGAGGGAGGAAAAGAAAGAGAGAATAGGAGGGAGGGGGAGGGAAAGAGAAAGAGAGAGAATAGGAGGGAGGGGGGAAAGAAAGAGAGAATAGGAGGGAGGGAGGTAGAAAGGGAAATAGAGAGAATAGGATGGAGGGAGGGAGGAAAAGAAAGAGAGAATAGGAGGGAGGGGGAGGGAAAGAGAAAGAGAGAGAATAGGATGGAGGGAGGGAGGGAGGTAGAAAGGGAAATAGAGACAGACAGACATGTAAACAGGAGACGGCAGAGAGGCAAAAGATGAACATGTTATAACTAAAGAGAGAAAGAGAGAAAGAGGTGCATAAATAAACAGTTTGAAAAAGAGATATCAAAGGGGAGATGTAGAAACAGATGTAACAAAGGGAGAAAGAACTTGAGGAAACTTAATGCAGAATGAAAGGAATGTAAACAGAAACGGACAGAGAGAAACTGAGGGAGAGATTCTGTCAGGCAGATATATATATATAATAAGTTTAGTTGGTATGAATCCAAGTTATTACTCTCTGTTCTCAGATACTCATATAAAATGACATATCAAGAAATTGTTGAGATTTTTTAATGGTACATCTAGCTATTTTCACAGCAAGGTATTAGTGTATTGCAGCAATTTACAATTTCTTATTTCAGTGTATGTACATGTTATGTACAGTTGTGATTTTGAAACTCAAGAATCTATGACCTCTCAAAATTAATGAAGGTTTAATGTTTTATGGGAAATTTAGATGAATGACACCAACAGTATGATACTGGTTAACCATTCCATTTCTTCCTCCATCTTTCCTTCAGGCGAATGAACGTTTCCTGAAATCAGTGACGAGCCAGAAGGATTCCTCCTCCATTCTCCGAGGCACGCCCGTCTCTCTCCATTTCATCTACGATCCATCGGGGATCAAACACGTCAGCCCGTCCCTCCTACCAGTCGTCATAGGGCGCAAGGCCTTACCCATGGGGTCGCTCTTTAGCTTTGACGTCTACCGCAACAACCTCCAGACAAGGATTCTGGGTAATGTGGTCCTGTATGCAGAGGTATTGCCAACGACGATGGATGTCTTTGATGGGTAAGATGATACTCACAATTTTTTTTTTAAGGTGGCGGGAGGGGGCTTTGCTTATGAAAATCTGATGCCCCCGTTCAAAGGAATTACAAGGGCATATTGATTGAAGAAGACAAGTGCAGGAGATTGGTAGTGATAAATGTGATTCCTTTTTTCAATTTGTATACTAAGAGCATAAGTGACTTCGACATTCATGAACCTCATTTTAATCTCAACATTGATTCACAATTTAAATTTATATTTTGGAAGATTTTCCATTTTAATTCCTCAGCATTTCACATTTATAACTTTCACCAAGAAAGAATATGTTGAAAAATGTTCTACAAATAATAGCTATTTACTTGTACACATTCTCATTATCATTATCATCATCAGTTAATCAGCTGGTGATTCAACATAATACTCTAAGACAATCCCAAATACTGAGATAATTACATAAATAGAAAGCTTTTAACCCCCATAATAACACCAAATGGTGTCCACCCGACAAAACAAGTTTAGAATAATGAATTTATTCGAGTAAACTCTACCAAAATATCTAAGTCTGAAACCCGGAAGTGCACGTAGAGTCGGGCCTCTATCCGTGACGTCACGAACGGGACTCATGGGCTCAGTGAGAGTGAATGGCAGTGATATCCCTACGTAAATGCTATCCTGTCAGAGCTTAGATTTGTTGTTGTTAAGGAGTATATTTGATGGATTTTCTGTTTTCATTTGAATGAAGAATAACGAAGCAACATTTTCCAGTCGCTGATTTCTTTTTATATCCTCATATTCACCTATTTGGTAGAGATTTAAGACGAGTTTACTGCTTAGGAATTAAAGTTAAATAGTGCATGTATGAATATAGGCGGATGCATTATATATTGTCATCAGATAAGGTACAGGAGCAGTTTTGTAAAACGAATAGGTCTAGAACTATGATAGTACTTATCATAGATGTGTGTGACTGCCTCAAAAAAGGATACAGTACCAGTTAAACATTTTATGTTGTAAAATATCAAACTTGAACGAGATCATGCAAGCGCGCTTCCTCTATAATATTTTGGCGAGTAATGCGGCTCTTGCATGAACGTTCGTGAAGCGAGCAGAATCGGGAGGTAAGACCAAGCCGCTGCTCTAGGCGCTGCTTGCTTGTGATGGAACGTACGTGCGCTAGTTACATGTTTATCGGCAATTGCAAGAGAATGAAAGCGACGTTGCCAGCTAAGAAAAACAACTAACAAAGACTTGCTCCTGACTACCGGTGTCAGAATTGGTAGATGAAGGATCTTCAGGGCCAAGGAAGGCGAAAAACATGGGAAAAAGGAAGAAGAAAACATCGGGAGATCGCTGCAGTGTATGGTAATGAACTGTGCATGGGTAGACAGCTACTGTTCACTCCGTGCTTGGGCCGATTTCAACACCAAAACAAAAATTACATGGTGAAAATATCGACTAATAGCACATCGTTGGCATGTATATGTCATAATGTTTAAAAGGGGAATTGATATTAATACTATGAAGTACTGGTAAAGAAGGTAAAGAATTGTACATAGAATTATGATTTATTAGACTTTTCAGCCTTTGAAACAAAAATATGCAGAAAATCGTATCACTCTGCACATGTTTGCTATGGAACATCCGGGTACGTGAATATACTCTTTCCCGGACGTGAGGTCATAAATAGTAGACCAGCGCCGTGACTAATTTTCTATGCAAAGAGAGGCGGATATTTTCGACATTTCAATCGAGGATTTCGAGTAGACAGAATTTTTTTGTGATATACTAAGTAATTGAAAAACTTAAAAATAACATATACTTGCCGTAGGTAACAAATTAAGGGACATTTATTTGCTTAGTGTATCAACTTTAAGATGACAATTTTTTGATGTAATTCTTATTTTGTTGGTTTCTCTTGTCTTACAGATTTATGTTCAAAGTTCCAGATAACATTGGATGTGTTTGCATAGCAACAAGAATGACAGGTGGAAAAGGTAATTTTCTTGCGCTTAGAAACATTGGTATTAAGCACTTTATAAATATAATGTATATTATTATTATTATTATTAATCTGACCAGATAAACCACAGATTTCTGAGACAAATGGGTTTTGGGGTTAAATGATTTCAGTGCTTTTTAATTTGATATTAGAATTGCTTCTTCTTGCTTCTAATAAAACTGCACACTATAAAAAAGAGAAAAAGTATTAAGTACCTATTAAGTACCTATTAAGTACCTACAATATTTGAAAGACATAGTAGAGAAAAGGGGGATGGGTCGGATCAAAGAATGGTATCCCTGTACTCCGCTCATAAGCGTTGAGTGGTCTTATACTACCTCTACCCTTGCTGCCAATGTCATGGAAGTGACTAGAGGAATGGAAGTGTATCTTCTAACCAATCAACCAACCAACCGTTATTGCATTCTGCAATTAGAGAAGAATAATCTAGGTTATATACAAACAAAACGATATTTCTGTGTCACTTTATTCTGTATTTGCTTGAGAGGTATTGATTCTCTCAAATAAAAATATCATTCATGAGGTAAGTGAAACGTTTCAGTGAAATTTGGCAACTGTATCAATATCAGACATTGTTCACCATCATATCAGGTCTACTGTACATAACCATAAACCTTAATTTTGTTCTTTCTTGAAATCCAACAGGGCGTGGTGGTAACAGATGGTTAGCACCCATCGGCTGTGCTATGTTCTCTCTTCATGTGCGCATCCCATTAAAAACCCAGCTAGCAGAGAAGCTTCCATTCCTCCAGCACATAGCATCAGCAGCGGTGGTAGAAGCCATCAGGTCACTCAAAGGTTATGAGGTAAGTATAGGGGGATCGTCTCCCCCCCCCCCCCCCTTCCTTATGATATACACCCTTTCCTCATACCACCCGCTCCTCAATGGCTGTAATATGTTCTCTTCTCATGTCGCATCCCTTTTAAAAGACAAGTGTAGGAGATTGGTTGGGAGATAAGCTTCCATTCCTCTATAGCATATGGCATCAGCAGCGGTGGTAGAGGCCATCAGGTCACTCAAAGGTTATGAGGTGAGTGGAGGGGTATTCGTGTGTGTGTGTGTGTTATTTGGGTTTGCACAGACGTGTATAAATCAGATATAGTTATGTACATCTGAGGACTGAACTTTAACGTCACCATCCAAAATACGTGACTAGGCCTTTAAACCAGAGTCTGCTGAGTCAATTTGTAGGCAAAGACAGAGAGCTGACCGTATCATGGACATTTCAGCTAGACCAACTCACTTCTCCCTTTTTTTATATTAGTAGAGGTGTATCCTCCCCCCCCCCCCCCCCCCCTCTTATTAAACATCCTTTCCTCATCCCACCTCCTCCTGTTGAGTCATTGGCTGTACTATGTTCTCTGTTCATGTTTGCATCCCTTGAAAAACTTGGCTAGAAGATAATAGCTTTCATTCTGCTAGTACATCGCATCAGCAGCAGTGGTAGAGGCCATCAGGTCACCCAAGTGTCATAAGCTGTTTACAGGGATTCCACTCCTTAACCTGTCTGCATCCCCCTTTTTCCTCCCCCTTTCCTCCACACATCCCCTCTTTTTTTTCCCCCATCACATCTTTTATAGGTTACAAGATAAGTAGAGAGGTATCATTTTCCCCTCCCTTTTCCTACCCCTCAATCCCATCACGTCTGTCAAAGGAAGAGGGGTATCATCCCTCCCCCTCCCCTTACCCCTGGGTAACTAAAAGGTTATGAGATGAGTAGAGAGCAATCATTCCCCCACCCCCTCCCATCAATGTGCAAAGGGTTGAGAGGTGAACTGAGAATGGTGCTTCTACCCCCACCTCCTTCCAACTCATGTTAATAATGATTGTAAAACAAACTTGTCTCTTAATGGGTCAGAGGTAATATTCACATTTCGACATGCTTCCAAAGTAGTTAAATCCTTTAAATCTTTGTTTTATAATGTATGGAAGGCATCATTAAAATTCAAGAAAAGGAGTATCGAGTAAAATCTTGATATGATTCTTCAACAAGAATGAAGTTTGTATTCTTACCCCGTTACAAATAAATATGAAATTAGAGATATCATCATGACTCGAGAAATAATATCCAAAGAATTCTATACTTAACTAAAAATCTTGCTTCCTTTAGCGTTTTGGACTGAATTTTTTGTTTTGTATGTCAAAAGCTGAAAGGCATCTTTAAGTTTCACTCAGCACCTACAACCTGTCCTTGTAGTAAATGCCTAGACAGTGACTGATGCAGAATTTGAATTGTTGTTAATTAATTGAATATCTGGAGTTTTGATTTGCAGCTGAAAAATCCATCAACATTCTCTCCTCCGCTCCATAGTGTGGAATCAGAATGTAATGACTATGACCTTTGCTGTATACAATACATACGTAGACCTGTAGAACCTACATGTACATATACAAACACATCTACTTAGTTAGACTTGTACATTCCGTGTATCAAATATGAACCACGAGTTGTGTGTGTGTTGCCTCATTTTGAGAAGACAAGTTACATGTACATATAAGCGTGCAATTTAATTTTATTGACTTTACTAGAATTCTGTCAAACAAAACACAGATGTAAATTTAAATCACTTCTTAAAGGAAATCCAATATTTGTTGCAGTGCATCACGCTATTCATTAATTTGGAATTGGGAACATGTAGTGGAATGGAAAAGATATGTCATTGCCATAGGCAAATTTGTTACTTATTCAGAGGTTTATCTCATTATATTTTGTAAGGAAATAAGCGTAACATAAAAAATATGATAGTCACCAGTTTAAGGAGGCAAATCTGATAAATCCAGACCGTTCAAAGAAAAAAAATAGTTTCAATATTCGTTTATGAAATATGTCTTGCCACACTTGTTGCTAGTTATATATTAATAACATGTTTTTGTTTATTCGTAGGACTTTGACCTGCGTCTGAAGTGGCCTAATGATATCTACTATGGCAGCAAACAGAAGCTGGGAGGGGTCATTGTAAACTCATCCTGCCTTGATGGTGTCTTCCATGCAGTAATAGGTCAGCAAATTTCCATGAGAATTATGGTGTAGGGAGGGAGGGAGGGAGGGAGGGGGAAAGAGAGAATGAGAGAAAGGAAGAGAAAGAGAGAGAGAGAGGGAAAGAGAGAGAGAGAGAGAGAGAGAGAGGGAGGGAGGGGAAACAGTCAACTGGGATAGCACATAAGATGTCTAAAAGAATTTCCACTTTATACTACATTTATATTATATGTTAACTTGTCTTAAGACACATTTATTCAAAATTGCTTTTGATAATTAACTTACTCTGTTCACATTGATCCATATTTTTCATATGTATTGTAATTTGGAGGTTTATTTGCATTTTCTTTTTGTTTTGTTTAATATGTAACTGTTTATCATTGTATTGCGTTCGTTATAAACTTAGAGACTCCAGTGGTAAGTGCTTTATAAGCACTGTTTTTTTTATTTTTTATTTATTTTGTATCTTCCCTGAAGGTGTTGGTGTGAACGTCTCCAACAGCGTCCCCACGACATGCATCAATGACCTCATCCATAGACACAATGAGGAGAAACGTACCAGTCTCAATCCTGTCTCAATGGAGATGGTCATGGCTCGTAGCATTACAGAGATGGAGAAGATGATCGATGCATTTCAAGAGAAAGGAGTGGATTCCTTCCTACCAGTCTACTATAAGAGGTGGCTTCACAGGTATGTCATGATCATGATAATGTTGAATGTGATTGATGATTGTTTTGAATGTTTGACATCAAAATCTGATTCTTTGTGATTTATTTATTTTCATTTAGTTATTTTATTTCCAGGCAAGGTGATAACAAATTGACAAAATGATATAACATTAACATAATGATATTTAGCACCAGCCAATGCGTGAGGATCACCTAAAAGAATTTAAAATCTCTGTCGAGAGGCTCTCCACTTGGCTGGGGCATACATAAAACAAAATATAAAGATAAGGTCAACATACACATGAATGTGTAACTAAAATTAACCCTCATATTAGGCATATGTGAGTGAGATCAGAAGCAAAAAGGCATCCTAGGGGGGTAGTCGTTCTATAGGGTGGTTGCCCGAGAGGGTAGTTGTCCTAGGGGGTAGTTGTCTGGGGGGGGGGGGGGGGTAGTTGTCCTAGGGGGTAGTCCCAGAGGGTGGTTGCCCTAGGGGGTAGTTGTCTTAGCGGGTAGTTGTCCTAGAGGGTGGTTGCCCAAGGGGGTAGTTGTCCTAGCGGGTAGTTGTCCTAGGGGGTAGTCATCTTGGAGGGTGGTTGTCCTAGGGGGTAGTTGTCCTAGGGGGTAGTTGTCCTAGCGGGTAGTTGTCCTAGGGGGTAGTCGTCCTAGAGGGTGGTTGCCCTAGAGGGTGGTTACCCTAGGGGTGGTTGTCAAGGGGTAGGTGTCCTAGAACCCTTTGTACCATCTACTGAGCTGGGACCTGCTGGCTGACATATGCACTGGGAGGGACATTGCAGAGGCTAACAATGTGGCTTTTACTTTGGCTAGATAGTAGGATATTCAGTTAACCACAAAATTATTAATACACCTTGTAGCAAAATTTGATGGTTTTGAAAGGTGGAATGGTTGAATTAGGACCTTTGTTGAATACTTTTAGATGTACGGTAAGCTTTAATATGTCATATTCGAAAGAAACATAAATTGGGATCAATTTTTCACACACTTAAAAAATTACAAAACTTGATATGGGTATGAAATATTTAGTTGTTAACTGTAGTTGTGTGATGACTCAAAATGATGAGTGAATATCATTACTAAAATCCTGTCTTAAATTTATCAATACCACTTTGTATGTGCTCTCCTTTCCATTCTTCATCCAGCAATGCCAAGATCAAGCTTGAGAGCGAGGACGGTGACGAGGTGACGATAACGGGACTGGACAAGACAGGTTTCCTGCAGGTCAAGAAGAAGGATGGTTCTATCCGCAGTGTCCAGCCTGACGGGAACACGTTTGATATGCTCAAGAACCTCATCAGTATGAAGCCTGGCAAGCACTGAGCTCAGCTCTGGGACCAGTTTCACAAAGCCTTTTTTCAATGACCAATGACAAAAATCAGTGACAAATCTGTTGACAACCAATCAGAAGCAAGGATTTCAGTAGCTTGTAACAAAAATTGTCATTTTTCACTGATGACAAGTTTTGTGAAACATCCCCTGGTCAATCTAATGTTTTTTCATGCAGGATGGTGTTTGTCAGCGCTGTTAGTATAGGCCTACTGATATCTTTTAAAGCAAGTTCAGATATGGCGGATATTCCTCCTCGAAAATCCCACCACATTTTTATTAACCTGTAAAAGAATTGCAAGTGCGTTCAACAAAGGACTTGCACGTATTCAGTGAGCACTGTGTAATAAGTTACAGAAATGTGAAGTATATTACACTTTACGTCATCATACAAAACCGTTGTGGTTTTGCTGCATTGTATCTGAACGAGCCTAAAGTGTTGACCTCCCTCCATCTTGTTAATCTAGGCCTACCACAGTTTTTGTAGTTGGGGCCTACTGCCATCTTTTTTTCATCACCAGCTCCATCCAATTACACTGGGCATGCTACAGATGAAGGTGTTGGTGATGATGATAATGATTCTGGACAGCATTTATATGGGGCCATATTTATGTTTTCGAGGGTGCAGGCTTATTCAATGAAGCATCTTTTTACATCTGACGCAGATCACTTTTCAAGTTTTGCCAAACCCCTGAGTGGCCAATTAAAATTTGCAGAACTGCTTATCGTTGTTGTGGTGGAACCAGTTTTCAATTTAATTGTTATGGACAACATGATGAGAAAGGCTGTGGTTTGAAGAGAAATGAGGAATAGTCAGATGCAGATTAAATGACTTATTTATTGTAACTAATGGTTTGCCAAACAGGTATTGAATGAACTACAGTTTAAATACTGGTGTATTGATTGAATGTACTATTATATTTGCCAAATTTGTTGACATTGTGTTCTCCCACATTTTTACTTTGTTGATGTAGCTATATCAAAGATATGAAGTTGACCCCCCCCCCCCCCCTACAAACATTTTGTTTGGGGTGAAATTTCTTTGCAATTACAATAACCATTAAACTGGTTGTGGCTTTATTAGAACTTCGTAAATTTGTTGATGAAGCTTAAAATTAGAAAGTAAGAAAGTGTGATTATTTTTTTGATCATACACAAATGCAATGTTGGTCAACAAATTAAGTTGAGTATCTTGTGAATATTTGCTGCAACTGAAGCGTTACTCTAAAGTACAAGAACAGCCTAAATGAAATAGGAAAGAATCGTGGCGGTGGGATTTGGCACAAAATGTCCAAATTAGTACATAGTAGCAGAACAATTGTCCTTGTTATCTTTAAAGCCATACTGTACTAGAAGCACCACTGCAAAATCCCCAATACCGCCGTCTCAGGTCAGCTGTAGCAGTATGGTCCAATAACCAGCTGCTTCTCTAGCTGCACTGTCGGTTCTTTCATCAAATCCTCTGTCTGTGAAGCAGCTAGAAATTAGGTACAGGGTTACACACTGTTGGCAAGTTGACCATGAGGTGGCGCTGTGCAATAAACAGTATGCTAGGGCAGTAAGATCATCAGTTCAGTATCACTTTAAACAGTGTCTGTTGATTGGTTTTGGACAATAATAATTTGAAATCTGAGGGATGTTGACATGTTTCCTTTTAAGCCATTGTACTACAGTTCAGTGCTACAGAGTAATTATGCACTGTGTTCTTGTTGGTTTTTCCTGGACGATTTGAGTAGTATGAAGAAAAACATACTATTATCAATCCTGCCCATGAACAGGTATGGCATTTGGAGGAGATAAGAAGTGGTTTATTTTCTGTGGAAAGGGAGAACTGTAGTCATATATTGATATTTAATCCTGTTCATAAAAGCATGTATTTCTATATGATTGATCGAATAATTCATGCTGTAATCTTTCTTGTAGTGATAAACTTTCAAATCAATGCAGGGAATTCAAGCTGTCTATTCATAAATTGTTAACCAGTAGATGTTCCTTCAGTTAATATATTAGATTGATTTAAATTTAAATCTGTTTTATATCTATAATATATGAAGTGCTGAAAATACAAGTATGTCTTGGCCCTGTTTGATAAAACTTGTTTACACATAATTATACACTTTTATGTACATGTATGTATGTGAACGAAGAGAAGAGTTATAGTCATATACAATGGACATGGGAATCATGCTGTGGGACTATGAAATTCCATTACCATGATCAATGACCTGCATGTATCACATCTCTCTAAAAACATGCACCATTTATTAGACAGCTCATGTATGTGAGTAATATCATGCAATGGCACTCGACTACGACAAACTTTCAATCATGTATGAAAATAAATAAATATGCAAGTAGTAGAGATCTGGCGATGGGGTTTTTTGAACACTTAAAAGAGATCTAAAAACACAGGGTACGTAGAGACGCTGCCGAACATTTGATAGTGATTTTCTGGGTCATATCTCTGCCATTCTAATTGATGTACCTGTATAACGCTTAATTTCAACAATGCAACCCAATTTCTTTCATCTCTTTTATTTCAGACATTCTTTCATTTCAAACACGTCATAATGAGATATTTCATGCATGTTGCACATTATTGGCACAATGCCTCGTGCTTGATTGGGACTAGAAATAATAAGTGAAATGCTGTTGTTAATGTAGCTTGTATGCACCCATGATCCAACCAGGGCTCTTTAATGGCTTTAAGTTCTATCAGAGGAAATCGGTAATACAGTGAAACCTGTCTATAAAGACCACCCAAGGGAGACAAGAAAAGTGGTCTTTATAGGCAGGTGGTCTTTATGTACAGGTTCCTTTAGTACAGGTTTCAATGAGAAACCATTTTCAAGGGAAACAAAAAATGTGGTCTCTATATACAAGTGGTCTTTCTATACAGGTGGTCGCTAAAGCAGGATTGACTGTATATGTTATATGCTCTACAAAAAAGCGGTAATGCACCAATGTGTTCTCTTTTCATCGTGGGATGTCCCAAATTATCTAGTGAGCGATTATGCCTCTTCGCTTTCATTGATGTTTTACCATATTATTATTGTTAATGTTTCAAGAGTGATATGGAGAGGTTAACACATTTAAAAAGAAAGAGGATATCCTAGACATTCATTTGTTTTTGGTCTGGATTGTCTTGAAAGTGGATGAAATTTCTTGTGTGATACGTTGCAGTAATTTAATGAAAAGCAGTGGAAGACCTTGGTTAAATACGCTTGCTTCATCATTCACAACATACCATATAATTTGGTCTTCCTCATCTGTATGTCACTGTCATTATGTCTAACTTTAATTCATGTTGATGTGTATTTTACATTTGTTATTTTCTGTTCAGGCAACATACTAGTAGAAAAAAAAGTTATGTCTTGCAAGAATACTTGTATTTTGATAATAAAAGCAATCATGTTTGGGGTTATTTCCATTTTAGAAAATCAGTGTCTCCAATTCTGTATATGAAATATAACATAGGTATTTTTCTAATGTTATCATCTCAGCACTGATTTCAATAATTGATTAGCCTATGGTGATCTGATCACTGTTTTTCCTTTTGTGATATTACCCATTTAAAAACATCATCATTCTGCCAAACATTGTCATTTCTTTGACTCAGTTTCCCTGGAATGTAAGTCTTTAGTTCAACTGCATTACTATCTTTTGTTTGTTTTTGTTCATTTTGTTTGTTTTACTTTTTGGTAGTTTCTACAAAGAATTATAAAGAACTGCTTTAATCTTGTAAATAGGCAAAGCTCTTTTTAAATGAGTGTGCAATTAAAGTGTAAGTTGAACATTGGACAACAGTTTATATCCTATTTCCTCTACCTTAAAAAGGTGTAGGAGTATTCTTTGTAAATTTGTATTGGTAGATTAAAAATCCTATATATAGTTTGGTAATTCCTTCCTCCAAATTTTCATTGGATATCAGTGTTCTGGTCATGATCTAGATAACCTTATGTTTTTTAATGTTTTTTAGAACTAGGAAACGGTTTTCTGGAAGTAGTCTTTCCGTATTTCTATCATATATCATACTCATTTCCTTCACTGTTTCTGGGCATTAGAATGACGTAACTTAAGTTGATACTGTCATTGCCTAAAATATTTAGTTCTTATTTCCTGAATAAAAATGTGACCACATTATGTCCTTCTTGTCCAATGAGTATGTAATATCTTTATCTACTATGGTCAAGTTGGTCCATGCAAGAAAAATTGAATTATTGATATTCCAAACATACCTGTTTTGGATTAAGCAATGAGGCATTGAAAATGCTCCCAATTTTCTTTATGAATGCATTTGTGACCAGATTATCTCAAAAAAGCCTTTTTTTCTGTATATAGCTTATAACTTCTGTCTTCATCTATTATGTTGAGGTTTTACCACTCTAAAAATGAAAAAATATAATTGAAATATTGTTAAAGTAATTTTGCCTTGAATTTGACCATCTTGATTTATGTAGTAAATGAAATTGGTGCTGGCAATCAAGAGCCCCTATTTTCTTCTCTTCTCACCTTTTTTTTTCTTTGTCAGTTGCCTCTGAGCTGCATTATGTGGAATTGAATGCAGGATAATAACTATATTTTCATCTGTAGAGTAAATACATGTATTTAGAGGTTTAGCTCCTCAAATTTATTGCCAAAAATTAGAAATGCTGTAGTGGTTGTATCGAAAAATGGGTTGCCTTTTTGACACTTGCATCCAAGAAGTTTCATATTATATGCAGAAAGAGAGAAGGAGATTAATCATATACTGTGAGTTAACAGGTTGAATTGAAGTTTGTTTATGATATGTATACATTGAAACACATGTACATGTACTAATTATGAAATGTGTACATTCATATTTGATTTTGATTTTGTTCAGCTACATTATACTTATATATTACCAGAAGTGATATTATGTAGATTTGTTTATTTTGTGATTCCATTAACTTTCAGAGTGTATGATATAGATTTTTCAATAAAATGTTTATGCATATGATTTATTACTTATAAGTGATGTGGAAATAGTATGCGTGAATATTATTTAGACAATGTAAAAATACTAGCGTGCCATGAATTTCGTTGTCTGCTTTGCATTGCGAATTTTGCATTGTAAGGTGTTATTTACGGGTGCAAATACAGGATTGTTTGATAAAAAGATTGATTTTAAACTTCATTCATGTCGAGTTTATGATGGAGTAAATTTAAAGAAACATATAATGGTTTACTGAGTTTTCTTTCATTTTGTATAATATGCCTGAGTTATTTAAACAT